CATACCCCTGTATATTGCATTCAGAGTCATATTCTCAGATGCAGTGGTGGACTTACTGCCGTGGCCGCTATGGGACATGAGGCACAGGGGAGCCTGGTCAGGAGCAGGAGGGAGAGCAGAGATTGCTCTTGGTGTCCTTTAGCAGCTTTCGGCTGTGCACTGATGCTGTAGCAGAGGGATCTCCTCCCCAACATCCGTCTGACATGAGCCAACAGGGGCCAAGGAGGACAGGACTCTCAACAAGGTATCTCCTGTGTGCTGGGTGACAGTGGGGAGCCTGGACTCGCAGCCATAGTACAGACACTAAATCTGGGATGGGGATAACCTCCCTAATCCCCAGCTTTATTGGTGTTCTTTTAATGTTATAATTACACTGCCACAGTGTAAATATAACCCTCCTTTTCCCTGCTTTATTGGTGGCAGTGATAACACCAAATCCATTGGGCAGCATCTCTTTCAGCACCACCACAATGTACAAACAAGGCAAGTTGGCTTTCTTTTAACTGGGCTCAGTTCACACTACTGTGTTAAGGTGCCCATGCACCTTACAATTATCTGCAGATTTTCTGTGGTCAGATGGAAAAAGTGCAACAGATTGGCCCAGGTGGAGATAACTCCATCCACATAGTTTAGCGTAGATGGAGGAATTTATTGCACCTTTTCCATCTGACCACAGAAAATCTGCAGATAATTGTAAGGTGTATGGCCAGCTTTACAGTGGTGTACGCTGAAAAAAGTACTGCATGTTCAGTTTTTCCCGCGCAGTGTGGTGCGACGCAGTACAACTGCATCGCACAGCACTGTGCCCATAAAACTTTGCAATAAAGCTCTAACAAAACAAAAAAAAGATAAGCATGCAGTTCACTGAGATTAGTGCATCAGCAGTGCAACACAAGCAGCAGGGAATTTAGCGCAACTTGCTGGTGTGAACGGACCCTTAAACATTACCTCCCTACTGGTATTATATTTACAGCATATATTTTATAATAGTTTTCAATGGAAATATATTTAATGTTTTCGCAAGTGGTCACATGACCACAATGATCATGTCTGCGCGGCTGCTAGGCAGTAATTTTTACAGGGCCAACAATGCCTCAGAGCTATAGATGCTGATGGAGTGACGTCACTGCTCTAAGAATTCAGCTGTGCTGTAGAAGTCTATACTTTAAAATATAATTTATATTGGTCCAACTTGGCAAAATGCAAGTGCAAAACGATCCCCAACATGGCTGCAGCTACTACAGTGTATTACCGCTTCTTCCGGGTACAGGAACAGCCGCTATACTGAGCAACCTCCCTCTGCTGTAAAACACATAGGGGGAATTTATCAAAACTGAAGCAGACAAAATCTGGAGCAGCTGTGCATAGCAACCAATCAGCTTCACTCTTCAGTCTGTTCAGTTAAGATTTGAAAATGAGAGAGGGTGATTGGTTGCTGTGCACAGCTGCTCCAGATTTTGTCTGTTCCAGTTTTGATAAATTCCCTTCAGGGAGTTCCTCAGATTATTATGGCGGCCATTCAGAGAATGCCTGTACTCTGTATTCTGTTTGGATGAGGGCAATGATATCACAGCACCATCCCTAATCCAATAAGAACAAAACACTTCTGCAGGTTATAAAATAATATATGCTGTATCTCGGGCCTGTGCCACATGACTGTACTAACATGCAATATCGGGGTTTTTCTGTTTGCGGAGGGGGCCCAATGTTACTATGAGGCCCTGTAATTTCTAGTTAAGCCCCTGTTCAGATGTTGCCACTACCTGGGGAAGGGAGTTCCACAATTTTACCATTCTAACAGTAAAGAATCCCCTTTGCAGTTTGAGATTTAACGCTCCGCCCCCTTAACCCCATAGGACAAGCCCTCTATACGTTTTTGTGCGCTGTAGCGTGAGGTCATTCATTTTTCTGCCCTGGCCATGGTCAAGCTCTAGGATGAATATTTTTGCTGTTACCTGCCATGGTGGCCTTGCCACTCAGGGTCAGCTTCCCTTGCTGTGATGTCCCAGCCTTTGTGCCTTTAAAAAGGGTATTCCACAGGGAGTCCCAATTTGGATGTCTTAGGGACCTCATCTGGATCCTTCTTCAGATTGCAATGCTCCCCTTTGGGCCTCGTGTCGCCTGGCATTTTTTCTTTTCCTCCTGCTTCCCCTTACTGTGTGCAGGTGGCTCTGTCCTGCTCAGTTGTCCGCACGCTTGCCGCCATTCCCAAGATGGCGGCTGTGGGCGATGTGCGCAGCCACAGGACTCAGAGGCGGTGTCTTCGTTCTGCGCAACCGCAGTCAGCCAGTCACAAGATGGCAGCCGTGCATGCACACGTCAACCAGGAAATTGTGCTTCCATCAATACATGAGGATTCTGGGGATTCTCATCGCTTGGACGTTGTTAACACCCTGAAGTCTTATATTGCGGCCTCACAGACCATTAGAATCTCAAGCCTGTTCATCCTTCCTAGAGGACTGAGGAAGGGGCAGTCCGTCTCAGCTAGGACCCTAGCCTCCTGGCTTGTCAAGACAATTAAAAAGGCATACCTGACCCAGAGGAAGCTCAAGCACATTCTACTTGAAGAGTGGCAACCTCTTGGGCAGCATTCTCGAACGTGTCAGCTGAGATGATCAGCAAGGCGGCCACCTGGTCTTCCAGGAGTACTTTTATGAACCATTACCGGATTTACCCAGCTGCTTTGGGCAAGACAGTTTTTGCTGCGGGCTCTGCCTCATGATTATGCATTATTTCATGAAACCTTTCCCCCCCCCCCTCGCATTTCCCTCCCTGTGTGGTTTCTACATCCCATTGTGTGCTGCCATGAGGCACTAGGAAAACTGTATACTCACCTATCGGTAATTTTCCTTTCCTGGTGCGTCTTCATGGCAGCACACAGGTGCCCTCCCTACATGGCTTGTGGTTTTGACTAGAAAACATCACGCTACAGGGCACCAGAACTTAGAGGGTTCGTCCTATGGGGTTAAAGGGCGGAGAGTTAACCCATTGTGTGTCGCCATGAAGATGCACCAGGAAAGAAAAATTACCGATAGGTGGATATACAATTTTCTTTTATCCATACACACACACACACACACACACACACACACACACACACTATATCCAATATAAAAGTTTTAATAATTAAAAAAAAAAAAGAAATCACACTTACAGGACTTATCCAAAATGTATTATAGCCTATTTATCTGTAGTTAAGTCATGTCAAAGCACTTCTGCTCTATTATATTGGCCTGTCCTGAAATTTGTTGATATGCAATACATGCTATAATGCTACTACAAATGAAAGCACCATTTCTAGCACAATTAATGTTTCAAGATAAATTTAACTAAGATAGATAGATAGATAGATAGATAGATATTCATAGCACCAGGCCTACAGCCTATAAAGAGTGGTCAATCAACTCAATCCACTCTCATGGCAAGTTCTCCCAAGAGTGCAGCAGAGGGCCCTCAAAATATGCAAGTTTGGCTCGGGAGAGCTTATAAGTGATTTATATGGAGAGGAGAAGGTGCACACGCCAGCTTATAAGAGGAGGAAGAAGCAGCAATCAGGACTCGTTTTCTAACATCCATGACTGACTGTCCATCTCTCTATTACCATCTGATAGGTGGCCAGCCAACTCAGGGAACACCCATAGATATGAAATCATCACTGGTCTGTCTGTAAAGTACTGGACTGGGCAACTAATCTAATGTTCGTGGGTAACCATACATGTCTGCTAAACAAATGCCTCCTGACCCTACAGAGGACAGCACTATTCAAGGACAATCTGATCAAAAAGTAGACATAGCATATCCCACTCCCAAGACATTCTATGGGGTTAGGTTACAGTCAGGCTTGCCACTGAGATGTCACCGTCACCCGTCACACAGGCTGTACAATCAATCATTAGCTGTACTATTAATACACAATATATCTGCATAAATCAGGTCTGTTAAAGTATTAAAACAACCATATTAAATAAATGATGATTCTTATAAAAAACTGAAAGCCCAAAGAAATGCTAACCGGAGCTGCCAGTACATTGTGAAGTCACATTAAACGCAATGTTAACCTTATATTTGTAGACATTTAGTAAATCAACTCAAAAACTTTCAAACCATATGCAGGAGATACAAACAATCCACGGAATGATTGGTGTCTACACTACATCTGCCAGGAGGAGAGATCATTTGAAATGTATGATGATAAAGGACGTGCCACTTCTACCAGTGGGAGAGGAATATAGGGGACACGTTTTAGAACAGCAGGAACAGGTGAAGACTAGCTAACAAGACAATGAAACTGTGAATAGGGCCTACGCCAAAAAAGAAAATCTGAAAAAGAGGATTATATGATCTGGGTCGCTACATCCGATAGGCGCAATCTCGGTCGCTACATATTATCGCATGAGCTCACTCACGACGCATGATCTCGCTCACTACGCATGATCTCATTCTCTACATATCACTCACTATAACATGATTTTGGTCACCACATTTGATCATATGATCTTGGTCACTATGTATAATTGCATGATCATGGTCAATACATAAGATCAAATAATCCTGAAAACTATAAAATGATTACACAATCTTGGTCACTACATATATGCTTACATGATCATGGTCACTGCATATAATTACATGATCATACGATATTGGTCACTATAAATGATTACATGGTCACTACATATCTTTACATGATCATGGTCACTACATAATATATGATTACATGGTCACAACATATAATATCTTGCTATATATATCTATATATCTTTTTTTCCCCACATGCTTTTGATTATATATATATATATATATATACACACACACATCAAAAAAAGTGTGTGTGTGTGTATATATATATTACACACACACACTACATGATCACGGTCACCATAGATGATAATATAATCTTGTCAGTAAGAAGGAATACAGAAACGAACATCCACCTACTATATGAACAATTGCAGTCGGTGTGAAAAGTGTGTTGTATGTAGAGTGTGAGAAGACATTACCTGTACAACTGGATAGGGATATTCCATGCAGTACACCCCAAACATGCTAGTATCAGAGCCCACTCTGTGAGCAGCAATCCTCGGTGTAGTGTCCACTTTCGCAGAGCCCCGGGGGGAAGGTGTTCTAGCAGGAAAGGATCTCACAAACTAGGCTGATGAAACGGAAAGCCGGGCACATGTGTGGCTCAGGAATAAAGGAGCGATAAGGAGGCTCTTCGGCTGCAGAATTTGGGAGAGATGAGGCGATCGGGACAGGCTGGATCGGTGTGGGACAGCTGGGCAGAGAGAGAGAGAGAGAGAGGAGGAGGGGGAGGTAAAGGAGACAGGTGGCTCGATCAGAGAAGAGGATCCCCTATGGCCATGCGTGTGCCTGAAAGGCACATAGAGGGAGGGAGGGATGGAGGAGGAGAGAGGGTGGAGGAGAACAGGAGCTCTGCTATTTGCAGCCGGAGACCTTCTGGAGGCTTGCACCTCTACATTCAATCACAACTCCTTAGTCAACTATGCTTCACATTAACTTAACACCCCCCATCCTCCTCCTGCCCCCATCTCCTGACAGCTGCTAAGGGCACTGGGGCGACAAAGGGGAGAGAGAGAAGAAAATGATCACACTCCCCTCCCCCCCCCCTTCAGCTGTTCCAGTCAAACTCCCGAGGATTAAGCGTGACCGGACGTTATATTGGGTGGACGGTGGAAGGAATCCGGCTGACAGGCAAGGACAGGTGTGGGATCAGATCATAGTAAAGAACGTAAATAAGCCTCCTCTGCCTTTAAACGCGGCAGCCAATACCCCCCAATCTCTTCCAATAGTTTCACAGTCAGATTCATCCCAGTGACAACGTATTTATTTGTGTTACAAATGCGAGTGTTCCCCTCTATGTGTTAAGGATCACGTGATCTTCACTGTATGTGATCATGTGATCTTGTTTACTGTATGTAAGCTTGTCACTATACATCATCTTGGTAACTATAGTATACATGATCATTTTGATCTTGGTTATCTTGTATGATCATATGATTTTGGTCATTATATACAACCTTGGTAACTATATGAATACAATATCTTATTCACTATATATGATATTGGTAACTATATATGATCATATGACCTTGATTGCTATATTTGATCATGTGATCCTGGTCACCAGATTTGATCTTGATAACTGTACTGTATATTAATACAATCAGTATTCACTACAGATTCACTATATATAATGTTGGCAACTATATATGACCAGATGATCTTGGTAAATATATATGATCTTGGTAATCATATATGATCGTATGATTATGGTCACTATATATGATTACAGGGGCATTGCTAAACTCAGATCACCTTTAAGATATGGAGATGATACATTTTATGCATAAATGCAGTTTTGGCAAAGTCATATTTTTTTCATATATTTATTTCATATATATTTCATTTATTTTTTAAATAATATTTTATGCAATGATAATGCATACAATATTTATTTCAGTCATGTCATCATAATGTGACATTACAGTTTTTAGACCAGTTCATTTTTGTTCAATTAAATAAATGATGTTAGTCTAAAGGTGCCTATACACCTTACAATTATCGCTCCAAAAATGAATGCCATTCCATTTTTTCATACGATAATCGGCTGGTTGATGGGAACAATTAATGTACAGCCGGCCGAATTTGGTTGAATGGGCAGACTAGAAAACCTTAGTAGAAACAGACGAAAATCAATGCATTAGTGGCGTAGTTTTCATACAACAAAAATCACAACCTGAACACTGCAAATGCGCAAATGAAAATCCGTTCTGTTGATCGATTAAATTCGGCCAGTTAGTATTTAGTTATTTAGTTATATTTAGTTAGCAAACTATCATCGAAATCTGCATTGGTCTGTGCATGATGGGGTATTTCAGTGGAAATTGAAGGAGGGTGTGATAACGGGACTAATAAAATTGAACAATAATTGTAAGGTGTACGGGCACCTTAAAGCTGGCCATACACCTACAGATTTTCAATCGGGAATTTTCATTACTGCCAAGAACCCTCTTTCGATTCTAGCTCAAATAGCCCATCATGCACAGCCTAATGTCAATTTTGATAATCGCTCTTAAGCAATACTAACTCACTGAATTTCGTCGATTGACAGAATGGATTTTTGTATGCGCATGTGCAGTGTTCTTGCTGCAATTTTTTTCTGTACAAAAACGCCACTAATCCATCGATTTTCGTACGATTCGAAAAAAGTTTTCCAGCCTGACTGATCGAGGAAATTCAGCCAGGAGTACAGTAATTAAAATTGGTTGGTGTCCCATCAACTGATCGATTATCGTTCGAAAGACCATTCGTTAACGATTTCCGAATGAAAATCGATAGGGCACCTTAAGACTACCAAGCCCTCAACATTTTAGTCTCCACACCTAGGCGTCAGCGTTTTCGCGCGTTTTTACGCACTTCTTTCCCTCGCATGGTTTGCAGACAAAGACGTCAGTTTTATTGAGCAGATCAAAATGCGTTGCTGTGAATGACGAAACGAGTGCCCAAATGCACACATAACGCAAACAGGAATGTACAAACGCTTGTGTTGCGCGTTTTAATGTGCTTCCATTGAAGTCTATGCGGTCAAATGTGCTTTAATTTGCCCGAAATAAGCTCATGTACCTTTTCCAGCGTTCAGCGTTTTACAGCTTGCGACAGAACTCTCGGGTGTGAACACGGGCCATAGAAATGAATGGGATTTCTAGTGTTGAGAGTTTTTTCGCACTTCAAAACGCCCAGGTGTGAACAGGGGCTAAATCTGTGTGCCCAGAGTACCAGCAGTGATTTTAGTCACTATGTATATGTTTTGAACCATTAGACTTATCTTTGCCATTCTGCTAATACATAAAACATACATAATATCTACTGTATACAAGTAATTGCTAATGTAGTAATTGCTAATGCAAACATAAATAATATTCAGTGTGTACAAAACATCCTTTCCATTCATCTGCTGCTGTATCACAGTTAAATATATAAATAAAGTCACAGGAAAATCTACTGCATGTGAGCCACTGACTGGTAATCAATAGTGGAACATCTGGCCTGCAACGGCACAGCTAAGCATTTCCAAGATCAGCTCGAAGCAATAGTAACCTCAGCAGGTTTCATGTCCACCTCTTTGCTGCTCCTTCAAAAATTCCAAGTTGTAATCGAACTGCTACTATACTGAATGAATACATAATGGGAACAATTCACACAGGACACCAATGCACAAAGGTGCTAAAGATGGCCATACACTATTCCATTGGCTGAAGATGATATGCTGCAGTCACTGATCGTGCAAACATTTTCGACCTGGCTCCTTCAATAAAAGTCAATTTAGTCATCGACATTTGTTGAGCCAGCAGGGCCATACACTGATTTTAGCCTGATACCTGTGACTCCACCAAAATTCTAATAGTGTATGGCCAACCTTGGTGAAGTGGCCATACACTGGTCAGATTTCAACCAAGTCAATTCAAGCTTTATTGAAAGAGCTGACGTGAAAAATCTTGGCCAAACAGCGGTCCAGTAGGGGTAGCTGGGAAGTAGGGGTGGAATGATTCCTTCATCCATGCTGTTAGCGTGTTAAGATTTTTTTTTCTTGTTCAGAAAAAATGACCAGTATATATCCAGCTTATCTTATCTGACTTCAATTTCCATTAATATAGTATGTAGGGTTAAATTGTTTTTTTTTTTAATGTTTACATTCCATTGAGTCTCACATACAGGGTAGTGTTAAGGATCAATTCAAGTGATTTAGAACCAAACATTCCGGTCCCTTTTTTCTTGTATTCAACACATTTTATCTTTTAGATAAAATTTTGTGAATATAGAAGTAAACATAGAGAAGGACTTGTCATTTTTAAAGCCTATCTCCACTCACTTTGCAGTGAGACTGTCCCTGGACTGCAAGGGTTAAATGTCCATTTAGGTCTAGGGTACCTCAGTAAAGCAGCTTTACTCACCTTATCCCCGCTACCCTAGCAGTCGATGCATACCTCCTCTCCCCTAAGCTCTGGATGTGGACCAGCTTGTGGAATGTCTCTCTGCGATCACCCGTATCTTGTAGCTTGGAGGAAGACTGCGGGGATCAGGTAAGTTCCCCCAGAGTTTAGGATAATCTCAAAATATAAGCACATCACCTACATACAGTTCAGGAGAAATCAAATGCTCAGAAAATTCAATAAAACCCTGATGTAATATCAGGACAGGATACCTCATTCTTGGCCTGTTTCCTGTAGAAAGTCAGCATAGAAACCTACCCACTATGAATATATTGTGATGGTTTCATGTTAAAAAAAAAAAAAAGCAGCAGCAATGCAGGTGTTAAATGAATGGACTTGGAAATGCAGATTAAGACAGATCAATACCAGTATTTTATGGTGTCAACTCTGCTCTGCATCACCGACCTCTGCCAACTCAGAAGCCCCACTTTTCAAACCATATATGACTTGTGAATAACGACTTTCTCTTTATGGGAACAGCTACTCTCTTGGTCCATTGATTCTATGCTGCAGTGTGTTTTGTCAGGTTCAGAATTTTCAGCCTATGATTAAACCTGGCCATACAGGATTTGAATTTTGACAGCTTCTAGCTGAATCGGCCAAAATGTGAGCCGTGGTTTGCCTTGTCAGCACTTCATTTACAAAGTTAAAGGAGTCGGGTGGAAAATTGTTGACCAAACAGTGACTGCATCCAATCAAATACAGTCACTGTCCAGGTGTCAGCCCTATGAATAAAACAGCCCCTAATGGAGATTCCTACATCCATGCCCGTGGATCGGGATTCCTACATCCATGCCCGTGGATTCCTATATCCATTCCCGTGGTTCAGGAAATCGAGGGATAGCTATCTTACAATCTGCTGCGTTTGTAACCCAGTACAGCACTACACAAAACAAAAGTGATCATCAAATGTGTTCTTTCTACAACAAGAACTAAACAGATATACTGGTTAAAGGAGACCTGTGCTGAGAGAGCAGGTATCGCTAGGATTGTATGGCTACATGCTCGTTTAGGCCTAAGGTACCTGGGAAAAGATAATTCTGCAGTGTGTAGGGAATGGTGGGCATAGTCAGATGGTAACGAACAGTGGGAATGGCTTAAAGGGGAATGGTTAAATAGAACCTGAGCCTA